ACATCAAACACCGAACATGGGTAACGATATGGGTGGGTGACAAAGGAGCACGAGGCATTCACGGGAACAGCTTCTCTAAATCCATGGAACTACACATGCATACCAAAATGTGTATCACACCAATATGATTTTCACATCGTCCAATTCCGTCTCTGTCTCGGGGTTCCGAGTTAAAGTTGTATCATGGATGAATACTGCACACAAACTGTACTCATTAAGTATTCACCTACATGCACTGCACGCAATATCCGCTCAGTCATTTACTGACGTCATACTTCTCGTTACGTCATATCTATCTTCACTGTTGAAGACCGTTCAAAACGGCGATATGAAAACCATGACAGCAAAGGGGTTTAAAATAGGAATTCTATGAAAGTTGTAACTAATTTTTAAAAAGTCCACATGTGGAATGAATATATACGATACAGTTAGTTAATCGGGAATATCAACATTTTTTTCTAACATTTTCATCATAATTTCTTAGAGACCGTTGTTATTAACCGAGTTAATGGATTGTTTCATCACCTTTATTGACATGACAATTTATTGTCCTGTTTTCTTTAAGATAATACCCAAGGATATGCTTTTCAGCAATCAATACCAGTCACTAATCATAATTTGGTTCTGTTGTGTAAGTTTGTTGTTTTGATAATTATCGATTTGCAATTTTTTGTAGAGGGAAGCATGTAGGAAAACATGAAGTCAAATATTTAGTGTTGGACAGCTTTGAGGAGTACATGGGGCTTTGTGTTTACTGTCAAGGGGTGGGGCGGGCACTTGGGCCAATTGGACTTAGCGTTGGATTAAGCGATTTTTTATGTTGTAATGAAAAAAATATTTACGAAAATTCATCAAACGCTGTCATATTCGTTGAAGTTTGGAACTATATTTCTGCGCGGAGCAATTCTTTTGGAGCACGTCATCATGCAAAAAAATAGCGTAAAGTGTACGACAAGTAACCAAAAATTGAACAAAAAGCTGTTGAAGTTTTCATGAAATGGTTCTTAATCAGGTTTGCAGGATAAATAGAATACATGGTCGGTGTCTTAAAAATAAGTTGCATTTCTGGCTCGGGACAGAAACACAACAGTGGCTCGCCAATTTTGTCTTTCTTCATCCTCGCCAAAATGCAATTTATTTTTGAGACACTGATCATGTATGTTTTAATAACTTCGTTTACAAAAGTACTTTACCCCCGACGAGGTTGGTTAGAGTATATATTAGCTCTTATCAACCTTTTACGATGTGTAATACACTATAAGTTACCAAAGGAAACAAAAAAGTAAACAACATTACAGTTATTATCAGATAATAACCATATGTCATTGATAAAACGGGTACAGAAAATAGATCGTTCATAACCTAAACGGATGGACTAGATAGAAAATAGATACATGTGATCCCACGAGACCTAAATTCATAATAGGACCATAAAATTGTTTAAAAACTACATCGATTCAATTAATTGCACACCAACTCTAGATCTGTACAGCATCCGATGCACTGAAGCATTAGTGATAATTTATTTATTGGCAAATACCACTTTGTAAACTTTAAAAGCGATTGGATGTCCTGTATATTAAAATGACAAAATGTCAAATGGATCCCGTCGACAGAAATTAAATATTTATATCAATTGAATTGAATTTGCATTGATAAATGGCAGCATTTGTTAGAAAAAAGCATGACTTCTGTGTGACAGAATATCCTGAGAAATATACAGATATTATGTCATACTTGTGAAATATATATGTATCAAACGGGATACCATTAAATCCACTATCTATTACATTTGGAATAAAAAAAATCAAATGGAAAAATGCCAAACCACACATTATATATCAACATTTCCGGTGTGTAATATTGCTATTAAGCTTTACCAACAAAATTGATGTTTACACTTCGATAATCGTCAAGTCGGGCGCATAGAAAGCCCGACCGCTGTACACTTGCGATAACAATTAGTGTGAATCCGCAATTGCGATTGTTCTATTGTTTAAAAATGTATTCGTGTAACCTAGAGAACTCAAAGCAATATGTGAATGTATTTTAACTATTTAATATATCTCACAAAAATATGTTATAAAAAAATGATGTTATTGTGTAACTTTTATCCTCAAGTTGACAAACTCTCCCGTGAAATTGGACTCGTCAGATTTGCTATTCTAACAGATGTCTGGCTGTTCCGTCAATGCGTATAACGTCTAACGAACGACGATCGTTGTTTCTTTAAGAGAGCGTAAATTAAAATAAAACTGCCTTCAAAATGTGAATATATGAAATATTTTTTTTCATTTTTGTTGTTTAATTTAGTTTAATGCATTTTAATTAGCTATTTCATTTCAAATATATGTAAAAAAAAATCAATTAAGAAAAACCAATAAACAACAAAAAAGGAAAAAATATTTCTTGAATAAACCGGTCTTAAAAGAAACCGGGAAAATTAGCACGGTCTTTGACGTCGGATGGTATGACGTCACGCTTAAAAACAATATCACGTCATTTTGAAATGTTTGCCCTACATGGAAGTCTACCATTTTTCACTGTTATCTGGTAATAATCATTCACTGTGTCATATACGAAATAAGAGAAAGTTTAAAACGTCCATAGAAAATTTTCGATCGGAAAGGTCAATGCAGTGACAAGAAAAGTCTGCTCTGATTGGTCAAAATTGCAAGAGTTATGTCATCACAGTGAATTGTATATCATCGCAAGTGTTGGTATAGGAATCCATATGTCTTTACTGAAATTTCAGTCAATTTGGACCCGTTTTTAGATTCGCCCAGCAGCCCCTTGGAGTCAGTCGGGGTCAATGTGCATTTAATAAAGTGTTATCTTAAAAATTTAACGTTTCTTAAAACCACAAGTCCTAAGACGCAATCCTGGAAGCGAAAATCCGCGGTAAATATAAAATAGTTCTGACCAATCGTTGTAAAAAAGAAGCGAAATCTAGCGAAAAGTGGAAAGAAAGCAACGATAGAATAGTCCCAGTCTTTATGTTCTTGTCTTTAGAATTCGTAAACAATTCTCTTTTCCAAATTAATGTGGTATTCTTTAATACATTTTAATTGGGAAAAAATTATCAGCTAGACAGTAAGTGAATTTGACAGATATGGATTCAAGTTTGTAACATCACTTCAGTTAAGCTTGCTCACGTTACAGATCAAATTTCATTTTTAAAGCAAGAAAATAAGAGTTATGGTCGCCATAGTGATCCCTTCCTATTTTTTTGTGTGACATGAAACTGGACGTGTTAGGAGCTCGTCAGTTTGTCTGTTTGTTCTGTTGTTGTATACCTTGTTCTCATTTGAGAATGTGACCTTACTTGGATTGACCAAGGTTTACCTGGCGGGAGTTTTCGATGAAGCAGAAGACGCTTATTCTTTCGGAACACATGGTCTTGTTCTCATTGTACTTTTTCAGTCAATCCTTCCTTTTTCCCTATTTAGCCATAGTTTGATGGAATTTGAGTTTAAATTAATTACGATTATGTTCCCACGATGGTATTTTCTTGATGTTTTTATTTGAAAAGTGTTACGTTTCAACACGGGTTTACATTATGACTTGTATACGCCAACACCCTATACGAAGGATACATAATGTTGAACTTGGTTCCATTAACCAAATGAAGGCAACGCCGGTTACAATCGCATTCACTAATTGCACTTAAATGTGAGATAAGAAGAAAAAAAAATTAAAACCGTAAATAGAGCCATTGTGACCTGATGGGGATATACATGGTGTTATGGTGCATTAGCTGAACAAATGTGTAAATAAAAGTAAACAGTAGTGATATGGTACAGTTGGTTTTCCACTTAAGGCCCAATTTAAATAGTTGTTGTCAGAACATGGCATTATTTTACATATTTACATATAAAATTTATACACCGAATGGAAACCAAAGGTAAACATCGCTATGACAATTCATTTAGATGTTATCAACATGATGAATCCTAAACAGCATTACAGGATCAATATACCATGTGAGTAAGCTGTTTTACACATTACACAAACATACAGCAAGGGAACACAAGAATGCGACAAAGTCAACTCCAAAGGCTAAGAACAAATTAAGACCACAGGAACTAGGATGTATTTCAAGGCATAGAGGACATTTTGTTCCAGAAGCAAGAGTGTCCTCTGCTTCGTCGCTCACCATGTCAGTATTGTGTAACAAGGAATGTCTAACACATTCCCATAGTCCTCATCAATATGTTTCTCTCTAAGCCTTGTTTTTAAGTTTTGTCGTTAGAATTTGACTTTTGTCATTAAAATGGTGATATGAATTCTCGAGTATCGAGTAAACAGAAACATGTAACAGCCTGAAGAAGCGGTATTAAATTTATGAAATGAAATTTTGAAACAGAAATGCTATTTCGGTAGCGTTCGCTTATTAATGGCTTGTGAAAGTCATGGTTATCATATCAAAAACTGTTATGAATACTAAAATATCTTCACATTCAATCCAAACTACACCAATGCATGATGATTCATTTTTTTAACTATCGTAACAACGTGGGCATGTTTCAGAAAATCCCAGCTCTAAACGACTTTACAAAATAAACATTTATCCATAGTAAACATATTACATTCAAAGCTAGTATAAAATATTTTTGGAAAAATATTTGAAATCCCACATTGTTTACTTCATCTATACAAGTCTTGGTAATTATTGATTTCCGTTATCTTTTTATCTTAAAGAGTGCAAGCCTTTAGGCTATTTAATTGCAAGAAAACATTATGACTTCAATGAAAGCATTTAGCGCACAGGGAATCATTATGACTCAGGAAAGCATATGCAGATTGAAACTCGTACTGAATGCATGATAACGTATCCTCAGCTAGAGCTGAATCGGTTTCCATCTAACAGAGGTGAGCTATTCTATCTAACTATTGATATATACTAAAATCGTTTCTATTTCATATTTACTTTTTCCGAATTGATTGATTTTACTGGGGGGTTTTTTCTGTTGCAGATAAGTTGGTAACAACTTGTAAAGATGGCCGCAATAACAAAACAGCCTGTCGGTAAGTAGGCAATACACAAAGATGATGTCGACAACATTCTAAGCAACATATTTTAAGAGGAAAAACCTAATTGCAAACTTCACATTTGCATTACAATGATATTGTTTTTGGCAGTTCAACATCTTGTGTCAATTGTAAGTGATGTATCTACCATTTTATCAAAGATAAGAACATGCCAAGACATGACATACATTCTATTTGCTACATGCACTAAATCAGTTTCATCTAAACATTTTTATTTTCAACATAATCCGAATGAATCAAAATCATTTCGCTCTTTCAAGCACTGAATTGCATTTTTTTTTCGAAATATCCCAATATGTTTATTTGCCTATAATGATCTATGGTACCATTTTTTCGAATTGTGGTTTTAAGAAAAATCACGCATTTCCACCTTTACTTGTACACTAACTTTAGTTGACATACAATATATTTGTATTCCTTTAGACACGAGCAGATTGTGTGTTACAATCATTTTGATGTAAATATCAGTTGTTATTTTGACGGCGGTACAATTTTCAATTACACACTGTTAAGATAGACTTTAGTATCATTGATCTGTCCTTTTGAGTGTGTACTGTGGTCGAATAAACGTCATCATTTATATATCTATAGATGTTGATATTTTCATAAGTTCATTTGCATCTCGTTATCTCGAACTCGGCGTGACCATTCGATTGATGTGTGTTTGAATGTTTTGTGTAAAGCTAGGCAGGGAAAACAGATGTTTCGAATTAAATGTGGTCTTCGAGATATTAAAGTTTAAGATAACGCGTTGTGATTGTAATAGTTCATTACAATGAGGTAAATAAATTGACTAAAATTAATATTGATAGTTATATCTAATGCAATTTCTTCAGTCAAATAATTAAGTATATATAGAGATATTTGACATTCAGTGTATATCTAGTTGTTTTATATAAAATCATTATGATTCCAGGCTTTGGCAATCAAATGCCTTTAAATGCTATGGAATATTTGGCTTCTTTGGATTTCATAAAAATCCGGCAGCAAGTGGACTTGGCTGAAGGTAAGTAAAATAACTTAATGATATCAAATTTGATCACCATTTTAAAAATAAAAAGTCTTGTTGTACTGTATCTAACTCTCATTTATTAAAAGGTGTGTTTGGTACAATTTTTAAGATAGCAGGTAGCAGACACTGTTGGTTGACTTTAAGAGGTTGCCATAACCTGCATGCCACGTTTTAATTCATTCGAATGGTGATACGGTTCCGAATATACACATAAACTTGACGAAATTACCTCATATGTGAAATTTATTTAGTTATGGGGCAGCGGCACCTCCCCGGCTCTAGATTTTGTTTTTTGTTTTGTTTTGTTTTTCGATCAGTTTGAATTTTCTTTAGTCGCCGGCAAGGTTTCAAATTTGGGCCCTAAGCATTGCTGACAAGTCTTGAAGTACGAAGCAGCAGCTGTATGTTGCAGTTAGGTTCATTGTTTGGCTCTGCTGTATCTAACTTTTAATCATTAAAAGTCCCATTCACTTTTTAGCCATTGTACAATCTTTTGATAGGTTGTTTTCAGAATCTCTTTACCGATAAAGTACTCATCCTCTTTAGACTGTATGAAAACGCACAAATGAATAACAACTTGTAATTCAAATTTAGAGTTAGATACAATGGAACCAAACAATGGGCATGGATTTTAAAGCTGATAAGACGACTGAGGAAAATGCAAAGTGATCGAAAGAAAAATCGGAATCTAGATGGGGGGATGAACTAGCCAATAATGTAATACATTACGTCATTTTCATATCTAATAATTTCTTTATAACTTCAAGTACATGTCTATATTCTGAACCTTGCTGCTATTTGCATGACTTTAAACATAGCATACTTGATACAGCAAACGTTAACCTGCAAATCGCGAAAATTATATAAAAGAAACACAAGTGAATACCATCTTTAGATACCAATTTAGTGTTAGATATAGAATATGTTTAGAATAGCAATCCTGATATATTAGTCTTGCTCTTCAGAAAAAATAATTGATGTATCCTATGTTTGAATGAAGTTTTTTAAAGACAATTTTATTGTTATCTTATCTTTCACATTGATTTTACATTGATATGTTGTCGTTATTCATTATAGTTTGTCTCTCAGTATATCTATCTAGTTAATGTAGTACCGAGCGTAGCTCGAACGGCCCTGCAGAGGCCTCATATAAAGCAAGCTCTAAATGTGAAAAAATCACACATTATCAGTCTTGTGACAATAAAACGGAATTCCAAGTAATGCTTTGCACCAATGGATGAAGCAACATGGCGGAAATGGCCACAAATAATCTCAGTCCCCAACGCGCTTTATTACGTGTATCCTAAAACTTTAGGTTAAAGAAATGTTGTTGAAACATTGGTCACGTTGTGAAATACATCTATGCTAATACTACGCTCGATCCAAATGTTTTTTTTTCCATAATTCATGTTATTGATAAAATATCTTTAACGTAAACACACGGGTGTGTTGCCATTTAAAAAATTAAACACATGTTGTTTGGTATCACAGGCCTTTGAATATATCACTAGTTAGTAATGATTACACCTCTCCTAAGATTTAAAGGATATATGCTTTATCTTGTGTTTGTGATTCTAGCTTTAATCATATGTAGATTTTAGAGTTAATTCTTAAGAAATTGTAGTTTATTAAATATATAGTAAGAGGACCTGTTCTTTTGCTTAAAGTGCTGACACCATGGCAAGTAGCAAACCGGTATGAAGTGCTCGATGCCAACGACAGAGAGTTCATGAGAGTAACTGAAGGTACTGTGGTAATATGGTTAGCTATTTTATATTGTAATGCAGTATAAAGGTGAGCCAATGTTACTTTATCCTCTCCAGCACCGACGGACTACATAGGTCATTCAATAAGGTAACAAACAGCCATAATCCATAGCATATTACTCTTAAATGCACCATACCTTTCAACGTGATTATTGAATATCACCATTAATTTAAACACAGTAATTTATTTCAATCAATGACACATTACCAATTTAAAAAAGAAATAAAGAGAGGATTGGAAATTAAGCTAAAAGCAGTATATTGATTCCTTTCTCAACTAGAGGCTACAGCAAACTTTACATGCACGTTTACACAAAACACAGATGACTTAACAGTGGATATAACATAACAGCGAAAGAAATGTGGCAGTCTCCTATTAAATAAAGAAGTGGAAATATCTGATATATATGAGCATGTTCTCGTTAGCAACCACTTCTGTAAGTTTTTCATTTGGAGTAGAAATTAGAAAACTATAACCATATTTAGATGCAATTAAATATCAACTTCATTGAGAAAAATATCTTTGTAAACAACGGCAGAATGATAATGAAAGTATGTCGTGAGCACACGTTATTTCTGATCGTTACAGAGTCGGACATCTGTGAACGACAATGTTGCATGCCGGTGCAGAGAGCACTCGTTCTCCACGTCACTGATCTGAGTGGACAGGTCAGAGGAAGTTTCAATATACGGAAACAAATCAGCTGATATGGCTTTTGCTTCTGTTCAATTTGTAATCGATATCACAGTAGTCGAAGTCTAGAATATCAGAATGTATTTTTTAGACTGTTAAATGTAAATTGAGATTTTTGAACTTTTTCTAATGTGTACAATTGTTTTTAAGTGACATTACAAGTAAATGGTTGGTCTTGTTTGGATCGAACGATTTGTTCTGTCGAAAAATCGAACAAACGTCACTTACATCGTTTAGGAAGGGCTTTGGAGATTCCCCTTACAATCAGTTAAGTGAGGGTTCAACTTGTAAAAGTGAACGAAGTCGACTGTATTCAATTATCATCACTTCGCAGGTTTCGAGTTTGAATTAAGATTCCGTTCACATGCATGTCGGTATGTTTGTTTGTTTTCAACACTGACCATTAATTCGAAGCGAACTTGTCAATCTTCCTGACAGTTCAGCTGATTTTAAAATACACTGTATGAGATTGACAAAGAAATTACAAGTAAAACATGTATTGATGTCATATTTAACAGGAGTTTGCCCAGGTCAAGAAAGACTTTAAGTGCTGGGCCGGAGGAAGTTGTTGCGCTAGTGCTGACTGTTGCGCTATAGAAATGTGGACGGAGAGTCCAGTTGGTCAAACTATCTCACGTTCGCGGCAGATGTGAGTATGTCTGTATATCAGTGTCTGCAAATGTGAATCGGTCTGAATATCATTTATAATTGAATTTCTTTCATATAAACTCTATTGTAACGGAATATATAAATATATAAGATTTTTATCAAACGCATTACAATTATGACTGATCAGTTCGGTTTTTTTTTCTCTAGGTACTACTGCTGTTACCCAAGGTTCCACGTGTTTGATGGACATGGTCAACAAATGTTTGAAATAACAGGACCGTGTTGCCCATGCCAGGGACCCGGATGTTATGCCGATCTGAATTATCCGGTATGTAACTGCAGTTTGATAGGCTGAATTAATTTTTCAAATTATATAAGTAGTTATGTATACTGTTTAGCGGTTTTTGTATGTGCACAAAACTTGCAGTTTGATAGCAACATAATTTTGTATCAATGATTATAAAGTTAATTTTTCTTAAATAACTATATAAGTGTAAGTAAGAGTTGTAACAATACCAAACTCCAGATCAACAGCGTTTTATTGCAAGCTCGTCTTGTTGCTCTCCCGAACTTTTTTTCCAGAGCTTCCTCTTTCCATTTCTGGTACAATCAAATCGGGGTTTACTTTCATTTTAATATATTGATGACGTCATACCTTTCAATGATCATAAATAGCGGTTTTTGTATTATCTTTAAATTATCGCAGCACCTTACCTTGTACATTTCACGGATCTCCATGGAAATCTTTCCGTTCAGATTTTGTCCTCGTTGAAACGATTGTGAGTTAGAATTAAGACAATGTTGACAGGTGGACATTCTCTTGTTGTGTTTCTATTTATTAAGAAACGTAACAAATTTCAATACAGTTGACCAATCCAGGAGGATCTGACGCTGGTGCCAAGGTGACGAAGATCTGGGACGGAGCTGGTAGAGCATGCTGTACCTTTGCGAATACGTTTGGTGTTCACTGTAAGTAAAAACAGAATGCTCATGTAAATGCCTATAAATCAAATTTTAGCTTTGTAGTCTTCAATAGAAATAATAATGTCAAACAAACAGCCATTCAAATATAGCACACATGAAATGATTATCGTGAACTCATATAAACAATTAAACTATATTGAATTTAAAACGCAATTTTCATTACAAGGATAATGTTTATAACTATGGTGTTTATTTCGTTGCTTAATGAAATGATGTCGGAAATGGTTTGAAACTTGAATAATAACAACTCACTATGGCAACAGCAATTGGTTGAAATTGAGCAACCAAAGAACGTACAACTATGCTGCGGTCCTTCGCTAATGCGTCGAGCGATTCTCTGTTGCTTTCTATCTCATTTTTTTTTACCTTTGACATGTCATTTGACGTAGAATAAAAACGGAATTAATAATGAAATTTAAGCATTGGTGTATTCTTCGTAACAGGCGCTCTCAGAATTTAAAATAAGCCGTCTGACTAGTCCACGGAAAAATATTATATGGGCAGAAATGTAATATATTGATCTGGAAAACATTTTATTTATAGACCTAGTAACCGCATTGTATTCTTAAAACAAATCCTTGCACAGTCCATTCGAAGCGCCCTTCGGATTTCACAGCCTCAAATGATGACCTAAATTAAGGTTTTAGAACCAATGAATTTATTCAGCAAAATGTTTAATAATGAAAATGTCTTCCTTTATCAGTTCCTCCCGGAATGGATGTCCAAAGGAAACTCTCCATTTTCGGATCGGTATTTGTACTTGTAAGTATGATGATCTGATAATTTTATTACGTATTACGAAATACTTTCTTGAAAACGTCTTGGACACAAACAAATATCTAGTTTTGGTTCATTCATTTATATTTGGAGGAGGTGGTGCTGATGATGTGGGCGTGATTTATTCACTCTAAGACGTTCCTTCATCTAAGATAGTTTATTCATAGAACAGATATTAAAGGATAATAATAATTTCTTATCTTCCATAATATTGTAGTGACTTTTCGATTTTAGGAAGTCAAAACGATCACGACGGGATAGGCAATTTATACTGTTGTATCTATCAAAAATTGTCTCGCGACTGTCATTGCAAATTTGAATTCTACCAAGACCAGCAACAAAGTTTTAGAAATAAGATATAATTATGACTGATTTTTTACTGGAATATATTTTTTTTTCAATTCATTTTTGTCATTTTGTTGTAGGATTACTTGTTGTTTGAGAACAATGATGGAGGCGGATAAGTTGAAAATTCGACAAAGGTCATATGTAACAGCTGACCACTTGATAGTTGTCTTGTGTTAAGGTGTTGTCCTTAGCTTTCAACAAATATGTATACTCTCAACAATTCACTGAACATGTGTTATACTGCATTAGTGTGAACAGTTTTATAATGTGTAGATTTTTACTCATTAGGAAATCAGAATTGCTTTTTGTGTGTTACAACATATACAGTAATGTGTTATACAAGAATGTATCAAGACTTTGTTGAATCAAAACATGTTAGAGAGCAGGCCTGCAATCTGGACCTGCAAGCTATCAATTTCTGACTAACTGTGATCTTATACGCATGGACAGCTTTGGGCTCTCTCGATTTTATCATATCCTTAACAGAATCAGATACATTATGTAAAATTAAAAACACAAGGATTTAGTGATTAAGAACAAGTTTCTTTCTGATGATAGAGAGAATGTTATTTCCACCAAAAAAGGCACGGAATCAAGAAATGTTTGTTTCAATCGTCAGAGTATTATTGTTTTACTCTGTTTCAATTGGAAGTGTTCCTTGGTGACCGAGTTTTTCATCCTTCTAAATCATAGAAACCTTTACTCAATTACAATCAGTATTCTAGAAGGATTTTTCTCGTGCCATTTGATCTTGCATGCGTCAGACTTTAGATAAACAGGTATTGTATTATCTGATTTTAAACAAAAATGTGTTTTTATGTTTCAAGATTTTATATCTAGACCAAAAACCCTATTGTGAGCATATACATGATGTATAAAGGGCTCGTGCATTAAAAATATGACATGTACCTATTGTTTAAAAACTCTTAACTAACATATTCGTTGGTATCATGAAGGTATTTTAAATACACCTGTATATATTTTGAAGTTTGTCAAAGTAGGCAAAATATGCAATATATTTTAAGTCTATTACACGTTATATTAGTATAGGTAAAACATTATATACTTGACCTATCTCTGCGAACACTATCTGTGATTTCGTGAATACATTATCATTAAACATGCATTATTTTAACTTTACTCGAGGAGTGTTCCTTTGATATTTCAGGGTAAACACATACATAAGATTTGATTTTTTTTGTCTTGTTTAACTTAACTTGTGTGATTGAATCTTCATTTACACCAACATATTTGTACACCTATTTGATAATATTTTCCAGTAGAAGATTAGAATGAGTGACTCACTATTTTGGTTTGCACCTTTGTAACTTTTGCATTATATAAACTCAATCAGCATTCCATTCTGTGCCATTTTTCATTGTCAAATAGTAATATTCAATACACTGATTTTGGTGTTTATTTCTATAATAATTATGCTGTAGTCATAAGCATTCTACGGTTCAGCATTACAAACGTCTTACTTTGAAGACTGTTTTTCATTTCCTATGCGATATTATAGAAATGTTTTACATAACATTCTTGCTGTTTCCAAATTGATATTCAAACTAATAATTGATAATATTTTATTACTACTATTTAATTCTAAATTCTAGAAGTAAAAAAAGTTCTAGAAGTTCAGAAATATTGATTAAAGTAATTTTGTTATCTAAATACATGTCAATTTGACCATTATGGCGTGTTGCATAATCTTTGTTAAAATACTCACCGTGCTTTTGATGTATACAGTAAATTCTCATTCACTTAACATTTAGTGATTTGGATTCCTCGACCCTGTCACATTTGCAAATTATTGCAATGAAACCAGGATTTTAATTTACCTGTATGAAATTATTAAATGTTATCTATTTTGTAGACAAGTTTATGATGTTATGTGTGAATACGCTTTCGTCATTACATAATAAAGTTGCAATTATTATCTAACACTGAAATACATTTGTTTTACATGTGTATATCACCTTGGTCAAAATTGGGAGCTCGCTAGTGGAGACACACTGGTCTTTCACCAAGGCGCTAGGGGTTCGATTCCTTGCACGTGCGTGAAAAGGTATAGGGTCACCTAACTGACCATGTGGGTCCCCCCTCCATGTCCTCTGGTTTCCTCCCACAATAAAACTCCCGGTTAACAAGATTGATTAATATAAGGTTGAAGCTTGTTTCGTCATTATTGTGAAACATATTCATATATCAAAGTTTGTTGATGATAATGATTGTCGCGAGTCTATACTTGTAATGTATCATAAAACACAAGATATAAATACACAAGAGCTATCGACACCATAATCTAGTAATATGAATAACGAATAATATAGAGCTTTAGAAGGGAAAGACGAAATCTCAATTAATCGCGTTATCCGAGTGTTCGATTTAACTTTGTGCGAATGTTTAGTGTGAAGTTTAGCTGAGACCAACGAAATAATTCGATTTATACGAGTTTGAGTTAACGAGGCTCAACTGTATTTGTACGAGATCAGTACATACTCTTTTGCACCTGATACGCACACATGGCCAATACAGTATATCAATATGATATTGATACCTAGTGGTATATTATACATTGTAGAATTTAACTTGGTATTTGAGGAAATCAGCAGGTTTTTTTCCGTGCAAAATTAAGAACGCCACTACTGATTCAAATTTTTCACTAAATATGCAATCGTAATACTAATGTTTCAGTAAATATATTTCATTTTATCAAATATTTCAACCAACAGAAAATCAAGCAAAGATAGCAGAAACTATATCACAATGCCCGCTGATAAGGTGACAAGAAGAACAGTTTCCATAAACTCGATATTATCACGTTTTAGACGATTCCTATTACAGTGCATGTAGTTGGGTACATTGTAATATTGCACCGTGTTGTTTATCCGGTACGCTCAGGTAACTGGATACACAAGCAATAAAATATATCTGTGTGGGTTGTTGTATTCAGTTCACGTTTCCTAACGATACCAGAATTATCCACTTTACTTTAAGCTTCTTATCAGATAATCGATATATATATATGCAAGGTAAACAATGGCTTCCCTGTTACCCCGTAATTATCTACTGATCCTGATCTGTTCGGGTGTGTATATGTACTGTACGAACGTTTAGCTGTGCATTGGTGCACTGCATATACCTTGTATAACCGGAGAATCCGCGTAACCTTGTGGAGGAACAACGTACAAATACGCTTGCTGGTCATGTTCAGGTGTTGGTCGATCGAACTGTAGACGTTATTGATGAATAGTAAAGCAGTAGTGTTTTAATTACCTAACGACATATGTGCCATGCACAAAAGTCATTATGTTGCTTAAGTCTATAAATAGACTTGCTCGACCACACATGATTACGTAATACCTGAAGAATTATAAGACGGCATTGAAACTTACTGTCTGTATGCAGACCTTTTCCAATATAATCAGAGATAAACAATAGGTGTTGCGATATCGGAGGATATTGGCGTTGAATAATTGATAATAGAATTTATGTAACACTAATGTGACAATGTGTCTAACAACTGTTATTGCTGAAGGTTAAAACATGGTTGATGAAGAGAAACCAGGGACGATATTATGATAATCGTCATTCATTTAGGGAATAATATACTTGTATATACTGGTTATTATAACATGAATTTAGGCAGAGACTACATGACGCGATATATGATTTTATCTTATCATATTTTATCTAGTTGATGTGTTATAATTGACAATGATCCCTGGATTGAGCATATCACCTACTGCACAGTTCAGTAAATGTTGTCGTCTTAATCGCCATTATGAAATTACCATCAAACTCACTTGAAGCGGAGAAAAGTTAATCGGAATTTGTCACGAAGATAATCGCCATCGTACTCTCCACTTCACATTGAATACACATAATTGAATATGTGATTATAATAAATTTCTCAAATGTCGATGTCGATCACCTGTCTCAACCGGAAAGATGGCCGCTATCTTTGGGCTGGCGTCAGATTTCTTGAGTATTTCGTGAATAAGATAATGCAAATTATTCAATTAAACATGTGTTACGTACCCATTAGTTTAGAATTGACGTTATAAGCACTGACGGAACAGCCCCAACAAAAGGAAAAATGATTTAGTTGAAAAAAGATAGATTAGTTAGAGATGACGTCAATTAAGGAATGCATTAGTTTGTGTAACTGCAAAATAAAAGACAAAAATAAAATTAAATTATTCAAGTTATACTTAATTAGTAAATCTTGATTGTCAATCAAGTTAACCATTACAGATATCACGATATTTTGTATTCGAGGACAATTGATATTTTTATATGACTCGATTCAATTCAAAGTTTTTAGATGTTTTCGTAAATGTAACTTGCATTTTGCATTGCTAGGAGTCATCCTAAATTCTATTCTGTGTCATTTGTTCGGTAAGAGATGTTCATTGCATCGTTATCTAATAAGTATGTTCTTGATATAATCATTTTCAGTGCCCAGCATCACATACCTCTTATGAGGTTATTGTTTGATAATGTTTCAAGTTGTAAATTACGATTTATAATCCATACTTCTTCCTCGAATAGATACCTACACAAACTGTGGGTATTGAAAGCATAGAAAAAAAATTATCTACCACAAATACATTATCTATTCATCTGTTGTTATCATTGATAAATGTATTGTTGTTATTTATATTGAATAAATATACCTATCAAAGAAAAGCAAGATAAGGTTATGTTCACCTATTAAACACCCATTAAATTACTATAATTAATAAATCAATTAATATAATGTCCCTGTAGCAAGAGTTATTCCCTTTGCCGACGACTTGGTGACGCAAACAAGTTAACCACTAAAATGAGAACACACATCATCAGGAGCTGTTTTGCATATCGGCTACAAGCAATTATAATTTATATGCGGTGTTCCATGAAGTTGTACTTCTATCGAGTTAATTACAACATGAAAACGCCACTGGTTGGGGATGCGGGATTGTTGCAACCCAGAACGCAAAATTCACAGTAAAAATTAAAATCATTACGCTTAACATATAGCTCGGTGGGAATCTGTACATGCTGGTTTTGTTGAAGGAAAGAATGAGCTAAATGTCCGATGTAGAGGAGTCTATCGTGTCCTTGATTTCCAATTCTGATAAGTTTATGATTAATATAGTAAAACATATCCTGTTATTTAGAGACAAAACGCTATCAATATATCTGAAAGTGATATTGAAATTCCATTGAATACCAGTGAATGACAGGAAACCAGTTCATTTAATATCAATTTATTACCACTGAAAGAGTATTTATCATGGAATCATACAAGAATAAATACATGTTATGCCTTAATGACGATTAACATCAACCGTAGGGACATTTGCGTTAGAGTAATATGTCGGTTTGGATCTATAAATCTATTGATTGTTTCACACATACAAATTATACAAAATAATACATAGATATATATCAATACTTACTACATAATATATTTTTAAGCACAAGAGATTATGCCAGAGTTTAAAACTACATCAAGCGTAAAATATTTTACAACATCAAAGCCCTACAGATTGACAAGAATATCATTGAATAATTGATTTATTTTGAAAAACAAACAAATGTTCATCATCATTTGGTTTTAAAAGAATTTTAAATATGTATCTTCTTAGAAATAAAACCGACAGAACAATAATTATTTTCATACAATATGAACATTAGGGTCAAATCATGCAGAAGCTTTAAAGTATTCTCGTTTCAGGTTATTGGATTTCATTGCCCTTTTTTCCATATTTCATGAAAAAGCAGACCGATTTCCATCTAAATATTTCATCAGTTTTGTATAATTGTTCATACATCAGGAATACATCATTTGTTAATAATTGCCAAATCGTTATCAAAGATCATTTTAACACGCTGAAAAATGACATCTGAGTTTCATCATTCCTAAATCCTTATGATCCCTCGCCGTCATTGTTCTCGAACAGAAGATAATCCTGAAAAAGGAAACAGAAATGTTTATTGAAACAACTTACCAATTTTTAAAGTGTGGATTAACTTACCAATATCAAAATATTTCTACACGATATCTGAGGTTTTTGTATAATAAAAATATTTCAGGAATGTTATTCCTTTAGTAACTTTCACATATGAGTAGGAAGACACCAATTATTATCGTTCAACCTAATTATGTATCGGGCTTTATGATGGGATGATTTAACAAAATTCAGTGTTTTCTCCGTTTCATGAGTGAAACGTAACTACAAACATTAACAGTGAAAATAATACATTTACGAATTTGATATTTCATTCTGTTATACTTGTCTTTGTCTAAACATTTCTTTTCAATAAGTATTTATTTGTAATGAAAATGTTCACTGAGAGGAATTTCGGTGAAAATGTAGTTTAGAACGATTTCTGAGATGTCACTTTTCTTAATTCAAATATTAATCACTTTCTACTGCATAATTCAAAAGCGATATTTTATAATGCTTGTGACGTCCACTATGAACATCATTTTTTATAACTCTTTGAAATCTGGAATCCAAAATATAACAAAAATATAGAACCACCTTCGGTGAACAGACATTTGCGTGGATTCTATGTCTTCTATTGGTACCACAAGCTACTACATAAACATTTGTCAGTGTTCATTGTATCTAGATACTATTAAACGAGTTTCCATTATATTGATTAACAAGTTTTAGATTTTTATACATTTTGCCAATGTAAAATGGAAAGTCAATGACGAGTTCATAAATCTAACGAAAATGAAAGTGAAAGTAACATTTTGTTTAGTACATGGCTTAGATATAAATCTATTGAACAGGAACAACATTTTGATTCTTTATATCATCATTCTCTTTCTTTGCTGACTCCATAATGGATATGACGCAATGAAATTCTGAAGTCACAACGGTTCAATGGGAATATCTAGCGGAAACATAAAGTCATCCTGTTTTGACCGATCGAGGACTATTAGATAAATGATATAGATATTTAAACAAATAACATAAGAACATAGTAAACTTACCAACACGAATACAGATCCGAAAATTGAGAGTTTCTTCTGGACATCCATGTTTGGTGGATCTGGCATAACAAAATATGTACGATTTTCAAAGCCTTTCCTTTTATATATCTTCTACTTTGTGTGGATTTTCAATATTCAAGATTTATTATGATTAATATCGAATGTAAAAATCAGACAGACATGTTACTGAGTTGCCCATAAATGAATGGAATATAAGACTGAATAACTATTGGATAAAATTTATATTTGATATGAAAAGCACACGAAAACAAATAGAGTGAACTGAACTGATATGCATTCGCTTCATGAAGAAATATTGAACACTTCCGGTGATTTGATTTGCAATACGTTGTTCTGAATAGTATGCTTGTATATACTAACAATGAACACCAAACGTATTGGCGTATGTACAGCATGCTCTACCAGCTCCGTCCCAGATCTTCGTCACCCTGGCTCCAGCATCAGATCCTCCAGGATTGGTCAACTGCATTAAAACGTTTGATATAGTTTAGTAAGTATACAATACATTTACGATATTAGATGAATTTAAATTCGTTTTCAGTTCATATCAGAACGAGCCTTAAAACTTTTTTTTATTTTCGCGGGAAAACATTAAAACTTTGAGACGAGTTTGATAAAATATGCAATGAAATGCAATATATATCACATAATTCAAAAACGTTGACAGGTCAAACGTTAAACTGTTTAGAAGAAATAAAAAAACAGAGGCAGCCATTTTGTGCGCTATTTCGTATTCATGACCATATCATGATATGTAAATCTTGGATTTTAATTGCAAAATGCAAATTACCATGTTTCGCATTGAAAACATTAAGTTGAATTGGATGATAATACGAAAGTTAAGTAGACTGCCTCTTGATCTTGGATATGGTGAACATTACTGGGTATTCAATACATTTATTTCTTCATTCATTGAGAAGGCATTGATTTTTGCGCTGGTAAATAAACACGACACTATGGAATCGTTCAATTATGTTGAAAATATATTAATGTTGCTACATACCGGGTAATTCAAATCTCCGTAACATCCGGGTCCTTGGCATGGACAACATGGTCCCGTTATTTCAAACATTTGTTTTCCGTATCCGTCGAATACGTGAAATTTTGGGTAACAACAATAAAACCTATTGAAAAAAACAAATTTGGAATCAACATTGCCGACATTGCTTCAAAATAGATATATGAACGTATAAATGTGTGTATTTATGTATAACAAATTCATATTTTACATATTGCTTTACGTAAAATTACTGAAAGCTATTCCGGCAAATGAGGAAAAAAATATTAATATCATTTTCAAATCATGAGAAAAAAATTTCAACTGATTTATCGGAGTTATGATAAGTAAAATATATGCATGTGCTTCATACGTTCAATATGGTGTTTCTGAGTATATCTGTACATCAATCTGTATATAATGCGAATATGCTTGGCCGAAAGAAATATGGCAGTCATAAATGTCAAGAGCGATACAATAACGTCACTTTTAAATCTTTTATATATCTGATTGACTGATAATCAAATCAAAAGAGCACATTTCTACATAAGAACTATATGTCTGAATATGTTGGCTTTCGTTTGTATAGAATCTATTTCACAAACATGACTTTCCATAATTTGTAATATTTCTTCGCTGATTGAAGTTTCTATTAAGACTTGATGTCATAGCAGAACTATCTTCTTTGTTTTTGTATTTATCCCTCATTATTCATATGTTCTACTATAGGGCCATCATATACAACTATATCTATTTCCATTACATGTTGTTTTGTGGTTTACACATTACGTATAATCAAATTATGATTTATAAACAAAACTCACATTTGTCGTGAGCGTGAAATGGTTTGACCAACTGGACTCTCCGTCCACATTTCCATAGCACAGCAGTCAGCATTAGCGCAACAGCTGCCTCCAGCACAGAACTTGAAGTCTTTTTTAACCTGAGCAAGCTCCTGTATAAATAAAAGATATAGTGTAATTTATTCCAACATCTCATTTGTAATACAAACGTGTTATATGACCAAAATTACACACTGATAATGCATTGTCTGTTTAAGATCAGTAATCTAAGACATCAGCAAATTGTGTATCGCCAATGAAAATTAGCAGAGAATTTAAGCGGAATTATCTTCCTATTTAATGGATTAAGTATTTAAATCGATAATCAAGTAATAACTGTTAATGTACTTATTTTTGTGGTGTTTTAATTTTAGCGCTTTTCCCGCTATTTTTGCAGGGCTGATTCATGTACAGCGCAACAATTTGAAATCTAAATACAGTGTACTTATTTACAAAACGCAATTATAACGGTAATCTGCCCGCCACAACCGGTGCTGGATGATTCTTTTGAAGGAAAAAATGTGGATTGAAACTTTCCGAATGCGATTATTATATGTCCACTAATAAATCATAACTTATCGCTTGTTTTGTGTTTGCGCTAAACTTTGCTTAAAATTTACAGTATATATAAATCCACAGGTAACGGAATAGGAAACGAATTTGGACGAATGTAGATCGACTCTGATAAATCTGTTAAATATGTAAAACGGAATGTAAGATACTATTGATCTATGACGCTTTTAATTCGATATTTATTTATTCGAACGCAGATATATGCTGCATCACTTTATCTTACGAATACTAACTGATGTGGCTTATGGTGATGTAAAAAATGGAAATAGTTTTAGAACATTTCTTACCTGTCCGTTCATATCCGTGACGTGAAGCACGAGACCTCTTTGCATTGGCATACAGCATACTCGTTCACAGGTTTCAGACTCTATAACCAAAATAAATATTTTTATGAATTAAATTTGAATTTTTATCACTCCTGTTAAAAATGATGAACGCGAGTTAAGCCAATTACTATAAATCAAGGACTTTAAATGAAAGTAATGGATTTCAAACTAGCTATAGATTAGTAAAATGATTTACGCATTCGCTTGTTGTACTTTATGACTTTTCTTCCAATTTCCATGTATATTCAAAGAAAATAGCACTGTATTTATGATTACCACTAATATCATTCTAGGTTTCGATAGACTGTTAAGCTTATCGCCATACAATATGATAGTGTGAAAAAAGGGAAGTAACTCCGGAAGATGAGAATGCACTAATATTCACTCAGACTGGTGCATTTAGTTTACATTGGTTATACATTTTCATGCACACATTGAAAAAACAACATCTACAACTTTAACTGGAAATGCCAGACATTTGAAAAGGAAATGATGTTTTTAATGATAACGTGCCTAAATAACGGTAAAAATGTAAGAGAAATTGTGCATTACTTTTGTGAGATTATTCTATGAAAAAAGACGTTTTCCCAATAACAGTATTATCAAATCAACGACATTTAATCGCACGCTTAATGACATTGGTTTACATTTTGAGATAATGTTTATAAAATGTCCTTAACATATCAGTCTGTGACTTGTTTATCTATTGAAATACAAATATTGCTGTGTAAGTTCTCCGTTGTATACCGGTAACAGAATTCACTATCGGATCAATACTAATTAGGATAAATGTATCGGTGTGACGTCGGTATCATATGGATGTCATTGACCCTGTACCTTCTGTGACTCTAAGAAAAGCTCTGTCGTTGCCATCAAACACTTCGTATCTGTTTGCTACTTCCCATGGTGTCAGTACTGCAAAAACATCAAAACATTATCTTTTAACATTGAAATATTCATCAAAATTTGACTCAACCTTTAATAGTAATGTAGTTTGTTAAGAAGCTTTAAACAAAGTCACATTTATTGTACTTAATGACATCTTCATTCACATACAATCTAAATATTAAATTTGAAATATTACTCTATGAAGTTAATACCTAACTCGATTCTATATTTCAGTTATCTTATAGCAGAATTATCGTAAATATCTATATACCCATAGGTAGTTATTTTGCCTTTTTCGAAAAAATACCTTCAAAATTACGAAGGGTGTTTCTAACCACGCCCTTGGAACGCAAAGATGACTAATAGGACTAAAATACGTTCAACACTCGAAAATCAGAAAAGGAATGATATTTTATTGAAAATAACCCTTGTAATTTATCTTCAATTTAAATGAGTTATTTTTAGTCTCATGAATGATACACATACAGAAAGGGACTTTTACATAAAAAATTAAAATCAAACGCAAAATTCATAACGTAAAATTATACACATTGTACAAACAACGAATATACGAAATTCGATTTTAAATGGCGCGAAAGATCACCCGAATCTATCAATCTTCTCGGAATATTTTTCCTATATTTTTCTACATTTACTATATACTGCACATCATTTATTGCTACGTACTCCCTATAAAGTTGAAATAACAATCACATTTAATTTGATGACGTTTCTTAAACAGCCAATCAGTTTTAGCTAACTAGTGATGCCGGTTTCAAATTTCAAAATCAAAATGTACGTAATTACCTTCAGCTAAGTCCACTTTTTGCCGAATCTTTATGAAGTCTAGTGTTGCCAGGAAATCCAAAGCATTCACAGGCTCTCCTTTGGTGGCTGAAATGATCAACGGTTTAATTATAAAAATGCGACAACTTCTTATCTTTCCTATTTCGTCGATCTAACAAGTGTTTTCTGATAGATGTGTTTGTTCATTGAATATTGTCGATATAAATTAGATATTCCAGGTCTGTGTTATATTAAAATAAACCGCCATTAAAATGGCTTTTCGCTAGTGCATATTTACATTGTTACAGCAAACAACAAGGAAATACCAACATATCAAAATCATAATCCGAAATCCAAGTCAACAAAACTAGGGCAAAATATGAATAAAAGAAAGATCTGCACGAAGACTCCTGGCGCATTGCGAATAGCATATGGTGTTCCGGAAGAGTAAGCGTCTTTTGCTTCATCGAAGACACACACTGTGTACATATTTGTCAATACAAAGTAACAAATACTTCAAAAACTAGTTTTAATTGACTTTCAACTCTGTTATCAAACCACCGACCGATCATAAAAAACTATCCCGTTTGTAATCCACCTGTGCATTTGTCGGGTATATAGTTATTTATCTATTTATGTTTAACATCGTAAAACACACCACTTGTTGAAAATATGGAAAAAAAGGTGTCAAAAGAGAAGTCAGCCTGCTTAGTAATACTTACTGTTCAGAACACCACTTAATTAAGATCATTTTTAGGTCAAAATGTGGTCTTTATTGTAAGGTTTCTCTGCTGAGTAATGTAAACAACTGATATGTATTTTCAAATGTCTAGCAATAAGTTATCAAAATATTCTTTTCACGACATGGACCTTTGACAGTTGTAATTAAATGGTGTTGTTGTGTGTTTCAATGTATACTAAAGCATTATCTTAGAATTACCATGTTTGTGTTCCCTCCAAATACTCAATACACAACATTTGTGCCTCCCTATACACAATATTTGTGCCCTCAAATACACAACATTTGTGCCTTCCCAATATACAACATCTGTGCCTCTCTATACACAATATTTGTGCCATCCCAATACACAATTAATATTCCCTTCAAATACACAACATTTGTGCCCTGCTTATACACAATACTTGTGCTCTCCCAGTCCACAATAGTTGTCCCGTCGCAACACACAATATTAGTGCCCTTCCAATACACAATACCTGTATCTATACCTCTCCACATACATTTAGTAAAAAAATTACTAAATAATAAATGAATATTAGAGTTACATACCAATGGGTTGTTGCATAACAATGCCATCCATCTTGGTTGCTCGCTACCTTGATATCTGAAAAAAATGGATAAGATATGTATATATATATACAAAAGATACGATACGTGTTTAAATTTCATGCCAAAAATACGCTGCTTTGGCAAGTAGTCAGAAGGTTTCAGCTACCGACATCCTATATGTATGATATAGTGGAGGAATCTTGTCAAGAAATGATATCTGATAGCTGAAACTTTACCAGTATTTAACACATATTTTCTAGAGATAAAACAGATCGTATTATTGTATATATACTTTCCTCATTAGCCAGCCAACAAAATCTTCAAAGTCTGATTCACATAGTGATAGGTGACATATATAAATATCAAATGATAATATGTGGATGCTATGAAGTAATTCTATCTTGAAATTTGAGTGCGAATGTTGAATGTTTAGCCCCAAAACATAGACATCTAATGAGGAGGAAAGTGATTTGTCGAGTTTATAGAGAACCAACTATTGTACGAAAAGTTGTGTAATTTGTTTTAACCTCACATTCAAATGCAGGGCAAAATGTTTATGTATCGTACTTAGTGTTAACTTTCAATTAAAAACCCTTCATGAAGAGTATATCTGTTTGCTTCGAATAAAACAAAATCATACACTGAATTCGAATGTGTTTACACCTATTGAAAAGGATTGCTCGATTCCTGCATTATGTAATGTAATCATCTGTTCTTCAATTCAAACATGCAAACAAAATCAATGAGTTATGGATATTTTTTTTGTTTCCACCAAACACAGGAGATATACTTATAAGTAAACATACAGCGTAGAATTAATAATTTTAACGCCTTTATGTTTTAATCTCATTCATTATTCATTTATTGATAATGTGTAACATAAAATGTTTGTCAGTAGTTTGTATCACACTTAAAATCACGATATAGTTGTTAAATTTTGCGAACTAATATTTCGCGGTTGTTCCGGTTTAGGGCAGTTCTAGGGTATTGAATTTCGCTCATACCTATCAACTGTTTACAGTATAATTTTAATTTGTGGAAGGGATTTTTTGTTACTTCCCGGACGCAACGATGAATAAATAGTGATTCTTTTGAAGGACAAATAAGTGAAAAATGCTAATAACGTGGAAAGGTCAAATTTGACACAAACGACCTCTAATATTCAACTTCATTATATCCGTTCTTTGTCTTATCATGAATGCTTAGCAGTCATTTAATAGGGTGTAGAAATTAATTATATATGACAACATGGAATAATTACTGTTTTAGATTCGCAATTGGCACAAGGGATATAGAGATAAAAGTTCATAATGAAATTAAAAAGTTGAAAAAAAGGTAATACTGTTTTTGAAAATTAGATAAGAAAGATTTAAGAGGAAAGTCTTCAACCAAAGTCACGTGGTGGGGTTCTCCTGTGCGATGTGGGTATTCATACGCTTGTGTAATATTTTTACCTGAGATGTTACCTGGATACAAAACAAGGAAAACCAATCACATTTCACTAATGAAGTAATGCCTCGTCCTAACCACTATCTTATAACTTGAATCTACAAGCGGAGAAAACAATGCAAATCTTCTAGCTCCAATGTTAGCCAATGGACACTGTCAATTTGTGATGCTGTCGCGAAAGTCCAGCATTACGAAATAAAGGAAAGTAATGAGACATTTGATAATACATGTTCAGATAAAAGCAGTAATTTTTAGAACACAAATACTTAAGTCCTGATCTCATTGCCTTTCTTGTTGGGCTCAATCAAATATTGGAAAACCCACTATATGTCCTTGTAACTAGACTTATAAAAATTTTGGAAGTGGTAATCTGGACTCACCAGGAAAAGAACCTACAGAATTACTGGACAACTGAGTCCTGATGCAGATTTCTCAAACGAATGAGACAATACATGAATGTACAAGTGGTACACCCAACCTGATGGAATGAGATAAAATATAGTATTCTATTTTGAATACAGGGACACCGATGTGTTATCTTTAGGACTTTAGTATACCATAGCGTTAATTCCTACAGTAATAACGATATATTGGTGATATTGGATGTTCCTCAGTCACCCCATAGGCTCCAAAATTTAGCCCCTGAGGATCACTGACGAATCCGGGAAGGAAGAAACAGCTATATGATACAGTTGAATTCATTGTTTGGCTCTATTGTTTCTAAGTTGTATTGAAAGATGTTTTTCACTTGTGTGTCTTTTGTACAATGATATACCATGTAGTGTTCAGAAGTAATGTTTATTTTGTTTCCGTATACATTTATAAAACGTTCCTAATATGGATGCTGTCTACAGGTAGTAAATTATTTTTGATGTTGTGGTTGCGTATACTTTGAACAACTATCATAATGAAACCTTGCCTTATGGTTGATTAAGATTTACAATATTATAGTTATATTTCATCACTTTGTCCTAAGCAATGCTTGCGATTTATTGGATCAGAAGTCTTATCCGTTAAAAGTACTATAGTATAAAAAAAGAGTTTTATTACATCAAGATCGGGTTTTAATGACATATTACGCTACACAATGTGGGCAATTCAATCTCAGCTCATTACCACATTTTGAAATTAGCGTAATGACAAATTAGCTATAAATTAAAAAAAATGTTTCCCACTACAATGCGGGCAATTCAATCTAAGCACATTACCATTTTGAAAATAGAGTAATGTCAAATCAGCAAATTATCAAAACTGCATTTAAAACAATCCTTTCCGTGTGAAAAGACCTGAAGTACTAGTATCGCTAGCGTTAGCGGCATTTAAACAATTTTATATAATTTAAATGTGATATTTGCTTGTGTGTTCAATCAATGGCTGTCCTACAGATATGGAAAGTCGATGTCAAACGACTACCGAGCAAAAATGACAGAGTCAGTATTTAAAAACCACATTAATAGCCGTAATATGTCCGATGTTGATCACCTGTAAAAAACTAAAACTATTTTTAAAGATACAGGGATCGACTGCTCTGTTTCTGGCATTATAAACTTGATATGAGCTTGGTTCTATTAACTGAGATGAAACATTCTAAAAATACATATTTCTCGGGCGATCATGTTACTGGCCTGATTTAATGATCAGCAATTCTACACGGTCTATAAATGGCGCTAATAAGGAGGTTCGTGTCCTGGCAATATTCCTCAAAACCAAACATCAGTTCATCTCAATGAATTCAGGTTCATATTACCTACGTCAAAGCACCCATTCCTAATCATGTCACATACTATACCGTGCGTCTTCATGCTGTCAATACATTTAAGTGACAATGCTTCTTTTTATCAGAAAATAGAAATCATATATATGTATGTGTGAGGTGATACCTTTTAAACGAGAATGTCTTGGTTAAGTACGCCTACAACAGGTCTCTGGAATCTTGTTATTCAGGTTGTGCTTATGACGGAGGCTACATTTAGGGTTTTAGTTGTTCAATAATGTATTTTATGTGGTTGAATATTTTATATTCTTTTTGTTGGGCCTTCAACTAAGTTTTTAACATATACATTAACAAATATATAAAACACATTAACATGGTCCGTTCTAATGTACTATTTGTGCCCTCCCCATAGACAATATTTGTAGTCTAACAATACGCGATATTTAATATAAACTTCATTTCATTCAACATTAAGTTCATAACTAACATAGCACAATACCTTTTCTATGCAATACTTTTACCATCCAAATACGCAATATCTGTACCATCTCAATACACAATTTGTGCCCTCTCAATACACAATGTGTGCCCTTCCAATACACAATATTCGTACCCTCCCATTACTCAATATATGTACCCTTCCTTCTCACAATATTCGTGACCTAAAAATGCACAATACTGCTGCCCTCCCAATACATAATACCTGTGCCGTCCCAATACTAAATATGTATACCCTCCCTATAATCAATAGGTGTGCCCTCCAAATCCAAAAACCTTGAACCCTCCTACTACACAATGTTTGTATCTTTTAAATGTTCAATAACATTTAATGTTAATGAAATCGTATTCTGTTATTCACTCTTGTCACTTTCGTAAAAATTTCGAAATTCAGAGAGGTATCCGCCACTTTAGTTCTGGAGTTTAGCCATAACCCTTCACGCCAGGTGTTCATTCAATTAATAAGTGGTACGATTCACAATACACATTTTTACTTGATCTTTTGAAATCAACTAACAATGAAAAGTCCTATTGGATAAGAGCGAATTACCTCTAAATTTTCTCAATTATTACTGCTAAGTTTGATTGGTCTCAGTTGCCTTCTAGTTTTCAACAATTCTGTAATCTGGGATAAAGATGTTTGATCTAGTGCTAAATAATTGGAATATTTCTCAAATAAGTCTCAAATGATGACGATTTACTATATTTTTAATTATGTATTCTCAGGGAAATAATTTAGATAGGCTTTGCTAACTGCTCAACTCCGATCGATCTTTTCGATTTGATAAAATATTTGATAAATGAAATTCGTTATTTTACTATGATTGATCTAATACTTGATCTGTGTTGAAATATGCCATCGACTTGCATCTGTTATGAAATCCGTGTATATGCCTCACGACACCAATTAAACAAAGATTACTATTTAATGCTTGGTACATTATTACATAATCAATATTACACAGATATCTGTATTTAGCATTGGCCTTTAATAGTGGATCTGGATTTGGATTTGACCATTTCTTTAGCTTATATCTAAATGAGAGAATCAATATGAACAGATGCCATACGATGGTTTTGCGTGACCTTGTTCGATATCGTATGCGTAATGACAATTGCGGCAAGCTAATGTTTCGTTACGGACTATATGACTCACTTCTGTTCATCTCGCTGTTCATAACCACGGTCTACAAGTAGAGTGTACTTGAATACATATGTCTAGAATGGGGTTACAGACCTGAATAGGTATATTTGAAAGGAAAACATGTTGAGGTAGTTTCCACAGTACTGTGAAATGTATATTTACATTGAGACATAGCAGATCAACATCTGTCCTTCACCTATACGAAATGTTCCGCACTTTTCTATGT